CGCCTCCTGGGTTCAAGTGACTCTCCTGCCTCAGCCTCACAAATAGCTGGGATTATAGGCACCTGCCACCACACCCAGCTAATTTTTGTATATTTAGTAGAGACGAGGTTTCATCATGTTGGCCAAGCTGAGTCTTGGACTCCTGATCTCAAGTGATCCTCCTGCCTCGACTTCCCAAAGTGCTGGAATTACAGGTATGAGCCACTGTACCCAGCCTGAAGTGGATCTTGAAGAACTTGGATGGGCAGAAGCAGCTGTTCAGGTAGACTAGGGGTAGATGTTGGCAGGGCCATGAATTCCAGGCTTAGTTCATTGGACTATCACTTTTTAAATCAGAAGTGATAAAATCATAATATGAATGGAGAGAAGATGGCAGTGGAAATACCCATTAGGAGGCTATTATATTGGGCAGGTGAGACATACGGAAGACCTGAAGTTAGGGTTCTGACTCTGGGTATGGGGAAGGGGCTGTATTTCCATGTTTGGGAGAGATTTGGGGTTCTAGTAGGCAGAATCCCTATGACATCTTTACTGAATAAATCTAAGAATAGGTTTAAGGGGGAATGGGAAAAGAGGAAGTAGATAAGACTTCAGGATTTTTCAGCCAGGGCATGGTAATAACTACTTGCCTTAAATTTCACCTATCAGGTACCACTCTAAATATTAGGTCTTAATTCTCAGTTCTTTAGGTTTATCTCTGTTATAATATTGATTCAGAACATCAGGGTAACTGGAAGAATATTTGGTATGTTTGATATTTCTAGGGATTCTTTGCATTTCAGAAGAGGCGTTTGGATCAAATTATTGTTCAATAAATAATCTGTACAGTGGGGAATCCTAGGTATTATTTGTGTTTTCTATCATCCTGCTCTTTAGGGAGTAAAATACTACATAGAATTATTCTTTAGTTGCTCATTCATTCTTTGCCAGGTCACTTATCCCAGCCAAATCTTTCATGCTAAAAGAGTATGAAACATTTGTTTTATTTTCTCATTATATATTTTGTTTGTTTGCTTGTTTGTTTTGAGACAGGGTCTTGCTCTGTCACCAGGCTGCAGTGCATAGCTTACCGCAGCCTTGAACTCCTGGGCTTCAGTGAGCCTCGTGCCTTAGCTACTACCCTGGCTGGCTAAATTTTTTTTTTTTTTTGAGACTGAGTTTTGCTCTGTCACCGAGGCTGGAGTGCAGTGGCACGATCTCGGCTCACTGAAACCTCCACCTCCCAGTTTCAAGTGATTCTCCTGCCTCAGCCTCCCAGGTAGCTGGGACTACAGGCATGTGCCACCACACCCGGCTAATTTATGTATTTTTGGTTGAGACGGGATTTCACCATGTTGGCCAGGCTTGTCTCAAACTTCTGACCTGAGGTGATCCACCTGCTTCAGCTTCCCAAAGTGCTGAGATTACAGGTGTGAGCCATTGCACCCGGCCTAAATTTTTTTTGTAGAGATGAGGTCTCTGTTGCTCAGGCTGGTCTTGAACTCCTAGGCTTATGCGATCCTACTGCCTCGACCTCCCAAAGTGCTGGGATTACAGGCATGAGCCACTATGCGCAGTTCCCATTATAATTTGTGTATAAAGTATGCTATTGCACTCATGTGTATCATGTAGTGGATAATTACATTAAAAGGAAATGAAAAGAGCATCTTCATGAATATTAGTGTTAGCAAGATTCCAGACCCTAGTGTTTATGTAATTTCTTCCATTTGCCATTCAGCCATAATGGGTTTCAGGATAAAATTGAGGCCACAGTCAGAGTCATTTTCAGAGGGGAATGCTGCTAATAGAGGAAATTTGTTTCCTGGCAGCAATGCAGTAGTGTAACTGTCAACAGTTTGTTAAATAATCAGCTGTGCCTGGCATCTTGTTTTTGTAGCTTTTGTATAAGCATTTTTAGGGAAAACAATAATGCTCTTCTGATATGCTTGTCTCTTTGCTGTGAGACTGACTTCACATTTCATTCTCTGTTGAATTCTCCCCATCCTTGGAAATTGAAGACTTTTCTGCTGGCTGGTAGAGAATCCTCTACATGTTGTTTTTTGGGAGCTTTAGCAATCATTGCTTATTCTGTGTTCATCTACAGGACACTGCTTTATGCTTGGTACTGCTGACATACAATGTACAAGACTCTAAACTACCTTATGCAAAAAAAAAAATCATACAACTAACATTTATTTTATAGATTCTGTGTCAGATACAAAAAACAGGATGCCTGGCACATGCCAGATTTACAAGTTTGCTTGCAGTATCTCCATTTTTAGTGGTGAGGAAACCTAGGCTCAGGAAGTTGAAGTTACTTATACATGGTCACATAGCAAGTGCCAGATGCAGGGTTCAACCCAGGTGTGCATTACCCCACATTTGATCTTGTTCCTGTACTGCAGTGATCGGTTACTATTAGTGCAACAGAAATTGAAAGGAACAACTTAGTATGGATTAGAATAATCAGGATATCATCGTGGAATGGAATAATTAAAAAAAATGAAATATGGGATAGATAAGAGAGGATCAGACTCTAGAGGGAGGTAGTGATAAAATAATAATGATAAAATGTGAACACTTACTGTATACTAGGCACTGTTTAAATATGTATATCTTATGTATATAAATATATAATATATGAAAATATATAAAATGTATATTATACATAGAAGATATATTTATTTATTTATTTATTTATTTTTGAGATGAGGTCTCACTGTGTCACCGAGGTTGTACTACAGTGGCATGATCTTGGTTTACTGCAAACTCTGCCTTCCAGTCTCAAGCAATCCTCCTACCTCAGCCTCTCAAGAAGCTGGAACCACAGGCTCATGCTACCACACCCCACTAATTTTTGTATTTTAGTAGAGATGAGGTTTCACCATGTTGACCAGGCTTGTCTTGAACTCCAAACCTCAAGTGATCTGCCCGCCTTGGCCTCCTGAAATGCCGGGGTTACAGGTGTGAGCTACTATGCCCAGCCAGCTTTGTTTTTAAACAAAATTTCTAGCTACTTCTAAGACTATGCAACCTACTTCATTTTTCTCAGTCTCTATTTAGGAATCTTGGTATTGATTTTTGACATATGTTGATGGCTGCTACTGTTTTTAGAGGTTATTAGAATTATCAAAACTTTTTAGGCCTAGCACACTGGCTTACACCTGTAATCCCAGCAGTTTGGGAGGCCAAGGTGGGCGGATTACTTGAGGTTGGGAGTTCGAGACCAGCCTGACCAACATGGAGAAACCCTGTCTCTACTAAAGATACAAAAAAATTAGCCAGGTGTGATGATGCATGCCTGTAATCCCAGCTACTCGGGAGGCTGAGGCAGGAGAATCACTTGAACTCAGGAGGGGTAGGTTGTGGTGAGCCAAGATCACACCATTGCACTACAGCCTGGATAACAAGAATGTAACCTCATCTCAAAAAAAAAAATTTTTTTTTCATAAGACAGTAGTTGTTTTTTGACATTACAAAGGGCACTTCTAATGGTAGTCTTTGTTATTTCAGATTTGCTTAGGCATTCTATACAGCACAAGAATCCTACTGCCATATTTAAATATAACAAGATAATGGGTAGATTTGTTTCTGTGGTCCTAGAACTTCAGCTAAATCTCAAAGTGAAGGGCAAGGGGCATTAAATACTTCCTATTGTAAGGATGTCTGCCAGTACTCTAGGGTAGTATGTACCTTCCCTCCTGCAGGAACTGCCCTAGCACCATCAACCTCCACTGGCTAAGTGGACATCCAGATGGGAAATGGAATGCCTGGTTCCTCTTCTTGGTAACATCTGCAGCCACCTTCATTCCCTGGGTTCAAGTATGAAGGCAGCTCGCCCGAAATACTGTATTCCTTCTTAAGTGCAGCCCCCAACATGAGGTCCACCCTATCCCCAGTCTTTTTCATATATTGGTTGGAGACTGGGGAACGACGGGTCTGTGGAAGTTAAGCTAACCCCTGGTATTTCTTAGCAAGTCATAAGGGAAGATAGGCCACACCTTCTCTCTGTAGAACAGTAGGCTTGCCAACCTTGCCTACATGTTAAAATCGTCTAAGAGCTGATGTCCAAGTTGTACCCTAACCCAGTTAAAATCTCTTTAAGAGGAACTCTGGTATCAGTAGCTTTGAAAGCTCCCCCAGATGATTCCAGGAAGCAGCCAATATTGATAACCACTGCTGCAAAATATTGGGAGCTGGGGGTAGAGTGGAGGGAAAAGGGAGCTTTGGGGGCTTTTGGTTTTAGCTAAAAAAATCTTTGAAAACAGAAAATATCCTACTCAGCGTCTTGTTAAATAAACAAAAATAAAAGTAAGGTTGACAATCTGTTTTGTAGCATAATGCTATGTGTACCTTTAAATGAAGGATCATACTTGGAGTTTTTCTGAATGATAAAATTTATAGTAAGGTGAAAAAAAGATTAGTTTTTTTGTTTATTTGTGTTTTTTCCAGACAGAGTCTCTGTTGCCCAGGCTGGAGTGCAGTGGCACAATTATAGCTCACTACAGGCTCAATCTCTTGGGTTCAAGCGATCCTCTTGCCTTAGCCTTCCTAGTAGCTGGGATTAGAGGCACACGCCACCACGCTTGGCTAATTTTTTTTATTTTTGGTAGAGACAAGGTCTTGATATATTGCCCAGGATGGTCTCAAATTCCTAAGTTCTAGCCACCCTCCTGCTTCAGCCTTCCAAAGTGTTAGGATTACAGATTACAGGTGTGAGTCACTGAGCCTGGCCAAGAAGATTAGTATGTCTTATTGGCCATCCTAAAGGCTGCATTTTACTGTCATTCAGTAAGTTAATTTTATCCTAGCAAGAGAATCCGATGGAGGCAATATTATTGGAATGAATTAATAGAGGCCCACATCCCGAGGAGGTACACACAACAGTATGATTCTAGCAAGTCTACTCTATAAGCCTATTGTGACAGCTGGTTTTAAGAATTCACCTATTTTTGTTAGGAATGAGTGTGCTTCTTAAAGACATCATTTTACTTACTTTCTCTTTGTATTGATTTTCTCAGAGCTTAAGACATGGCTGCCCAGTGTGTCACGAAGGTGGAGCTGAATATTTCCTGTGCCAATCTTTTGGATAAAGATATAGGGTCAAAGTCAGACCCTTTATGTGTGTTATTTTTGAATACAAGTGGTCAACAGTGGTATGAGGTAATGTTAAATACTTTAGCTAAGAAGTAATCTGAACTACCCTTTTAATAATCTGAAGAGGTTTTTTCTTTTTTAATGTTAAAAATAATACTATCCCATCTGTTAATGGAGTTTTTTGTGAAAGTTTGTCCTTGATTGTAGAATTTTTCATACACATATAGAAACTTCCTTTAGTTGTCATGCCTGTGTTTATATTTAATGCATGTGTATGTGAAAATCCAAGTGCACCTTTAATCTGAAGAAACTTTTTTGTTTCTGGGGATGGCTGTAGGTTGAACGCACAGAAAGAATTAAGAATTGCTTGAATCCTCAATTTTCCAAGACATTTATTATTGATTACTACTTTGAAGTGGTTCAGAAATTGAAATTTGGGGTTTATGACATCGACAACAAAACTATTGAGCTGAGTGACGATGACTTCTTAGGAGAATGCGAATGCACCCTTGGACAAGTAAGTGTAAATAGCCACTGTACTCTTTTGTCTAAATTTTAATCAATGAATTGGGTGTTTTTGGTAAGCATCATTTAATTTTTAAAGTTGAAAAGCATTTAATCCCTTTAATGACAGTTTATATATTAACATGATTGGCTTGAACATTGTGGAATTCATCTTATATTTTGTATGGGCAGTAACTATATTTCTGGAAAAGGCTATTAATTCTTTTGAGTAAGGGATGCTTCATGAGGCATTTCAGTAAAATACCTCCACTTTAGCTGCCGCAGAGTTCTCTATGGTTTCATTATGTTCAAGTCATAAGTGCTATCAAGATAACAGCAACTTCTCTGATGTTCTAACTAGTGAGACTGGTACCTCCTGACTCCCAGTGCCCCAACAGTACCCCCTTTACCTGGCTTGCTCTTTCTCAACCTTATTCCCCCATAAACCTTCTCAGACCCTCTATATTAGTTTGGAACCCTTTTCTGAGCTCACTTGTACTGTCTAGTACATCTCACCATACTTTTTAATAGTTGTTTAAGTATCTGTCTTCCCAGTATATGACAAGTTTGGTCAGGGTAGGGACATGTCTCATGGCTCACCATTTTGCTCCTAGGTTAATATGATTCATAAGGAGAGATTATAAAGACTGAAGAAGGTTTTAGGAGGGAGGAGTAATTTTGTTTTAATATGTGACATTTGTCAATTCCATATGTCTTTTATAAGTTTATTTTTCAGGGTTGAATTGTTTGGAGATTATGGTATTTTCTGTATCTCAAAAACAATATGAAACTGATTAGTTTCTTAAAACTTAAATAATATCAAAGAAAAAAATAAGGAAGTATTCCTTTTTTGGGGGAAAAATCCCAGGGTAGCTAAAATTTCTATGAATTTGTGAGATATATCAGAGGTATATCTATTTGAAAGAACCTAGGTATGCTATATTCCTTCAAGCAATATGACCTCTTATGGGAGTTAAATATTGAAGTTGGTGTGTCAATAGAAAAATTGAATCCTTTTTTTTTTTTTTTTTTTTTTTTTTTGAGACAGGATCTCACTCAGTCACCCAGGCTGGAGTGCAGTGGCTTGATCACAGCTCACTGCAGCCTTGACCTCTCAGATTCAAGTGATCCTCCCATCTCAGCCTCCTAAGTAGCTGGGGGTATAGGCACATGCCTCTGCACCTGGCTAATTTTTGTCTGTTTTTGTAGAGACAGGTTTTGCCATGTTGCTGAGGCTAGTCTTGAACTTGTGGGCTCAAGCAGTCCTCCCATCCCAGCCTCCCAAAGGCTGGGATTATAGGTGTGAGCCACTGCACCTGGCCTTGAATCTCATTTATTGAGTATTCTGAAGCCCACCTTTTACCTAGAAGGTTTCAGCTAAGTGATTTATTTAAGCAATGAGAATCCAGTCCTCTTTTTCCATTACAAGGAACAATTTAAACTTTGACATACACAGGAGGTTAAGAAACTAGTGGATAGGGAGATCATTATCTGCCAGGGTCGAATTGGGAAGTTTTTCCCAGTGGGTTTTAAATATGTTGATGAATTTAAAATGTCACAATCTCTAAATCTTTAAAAAACCAACTTAATGTTTCTATTTCTTTTCCTTTTTTTTTTTTATTGAGACGGTGTCTCGCTCTGGCGCCCACGCTGGAGTACAGGAGTACAGAGGAGCAATCTTGGCTCACTGCAACCTCTGCCTCCCAGGTTCAAGCAATTCTCCTCAATCAGCCTCCTAAGTAGCTGGGACTACAGGCATACACCACCACACCCAGCTAATTTTTGTTATTTTTAGTAGAGGCGGGGTTTCACCTCATTGGTCAGGCTGGTCTCGAACTCCTGACCTTGTGATCTGCTGGCCTCTCCAAGTGTTGGGATTACAGGCGTGAGCCACCGAGCCGGGCTCATGCTTCTATTTCTAATGACTTTAAGTGAACTTCGTACTCAGTCTTTTTTGCTGAAACTATTTTCATTCAAAAATTCATAGGATGAAGGAAAATGACTCTTAGTATCCCTTTCTAATTCTAACAGATTGTTTCCAGTAAGAAGCTAACTCGACCACTGATGCTGAAAAATGGCAAACCTGCAGGAAATGGGAGCATTACGGTAAACATAAGATATCTGTCTTTTGTCTCAGAAGATTTGGCATAACAGGGCATGCCAAAACTGTGCATACTAGACAAATATTCTACAGCCATGCTTTGTCACTCAATCTTGAATGTCGCATTCTATCCACCCTTGTCTTGTAGTGATCACAGTTGGGAAATGTATTATGCAAACAAGGAGAAACATACGGTGTGGTAGTCCCTTCTTTCAGTTTTTTAAGTTGCCCATATAGGTCAAGTGCACCTGGGTGATACCTGCCCCTCCTCTGTGGAAGTGTCAATTCTTATGTTAGAAACTGCTTAATAATCTGGATCAATTTGGTTCTCTACTGGGGAAACAGTCCTCTCAACGTGACAGAAATTTTTCCTAGTGGATTTTATTCCAGAGGGGTATTATATTATGATATGGCCATTGAACCTATAAACTCTTAACCATCGTTTATTGTGCTTGTTCTCTGCTGCCTATCCTCCTACCTAGGCTTTTCATTGCTGACTACTGGCTCCGGGCAAATGAATATATGCTTTATTGCATTTCACGTTTCCAATTATATAATGCCAAGCCTGTAAACCTTATCTTCTAGAGTGTCTCTACAGATAACTGCTGCCTGGAGTGATAGTATTTTAACTTTAGCTCCCTCTGAGAATGTAAGGGTAGCTCCCTGAGAGAGCTATGTTTCAAGGTTATTGTAATTATCAAATACATTTCTCTGAGCAGCTGATTGGCTCTAGTTTAGATTTCCAAAGGCATAAGAATGTTCAGGGGTGTTGATTTTTGTGGGAAAGAGAACATTGTAAGTAGTTAGCATCCTTGCTGTAGAGCATGAGAGACTGATACTTATTTTTAAGTAGAATGAGTCTTTCAGTTACATTGGATGAAAAACATTGATCTGATCATTTCAATTTACAGAGTGTTCTAGGTATGATTTATTCATGCTTCTCAGTGTTTAGGGAACTTTAGCCAGTGTTTTGCAGAGGATATTCTCAATCTCTGGGGTTTTGACGTTTCCCTTGAATGGGGAAGATCCAGCTTGGGCAACCACATTTCAAAAGACATTGCTAAATGCAGACCTGGGCATTTTTGGAAAAATCTTTATTTCATACACATAAAAGAAATAATGGTAGATCCTTCTTAATTATACCATTTTCTTATGAAACATTTTAGAATTCATTTGTATTAGTGTAGGCTTTATATTAGGTAACAGAATAAATCAGTGCTTGAGTATATCAGAATTCCTAAAACATATTTCTTTCACTTACCTTGTCTACTCATAGATTTCAGCTGAAGAAATAAAAGATAATAGAGTGGTCTTGTTTGAAATGGCAGCCAGAAAACTGGATAATAAGGTGGGTAGACTGTGCAGACTTCAACAAGGATGTCATGTTTTGCCTTCTTTTTTTTTTTTGAGAAAATAAAAATGCAGTTAATATCATGAACTCCATCTTCTGAACATCACATAGGATACTAGTTACTTCCAAATTTTGCATGTGTGTATATACGTGTTTAAGCAGAACCCATTTCTCTTCACCTCTTTCATCTAGATGTGGCTCTTTCATCTAGAGCCACCTCATGCCATGTAATCAGGCATAAGGTGGCTCATGCCTGTAATCCAGCACTTTGGGAGGCCAAGGTGGGCAGATCACTTGAGCTCAGAAGTTTGAGACCAGCCTGGGTAACATGGCAAAACCTCATCTCTACAAAAAATACAAAAATTACCTGGGCATGGTGGCATGTGCCTGCAGTTTCATGTGAGTTGGGAGGATTACTTGAGCACGGGACGTCAAGACTGCAGTTAGCAGCAATCACACATTCTCACCTGTGTCTGTCTCAAGAAAAAAAACAAAACAAAACATAAAGAAAACATTTTAGACTATAGGCTGGGGACTTTTTTTTAATTGTGGAAAAAAATTAAATATATTCAAAAATAGAAGACTATTTAAAAAAAATTTCATGTTCCTATTACCCATCTTCCACAATTATAACTCAGGGCCAATTTTGTTTAATCTGTACCCTTATCTACTTTCTCTCCTCCCAGACTTCGTATCATTTCGTCCATGAATATGTTGATGTATCTCTGAAGACACTTTAAGTGATTACATTGTTTAAAGTGTTTCTTAAATCTTTATAAATCTGCACATTTCTTCCTTCCTTTTGCTTCTTTCTCTCCTTCCTCCCGCCCTTCTTTCTTTTCTATCTATTCTTCCATCCATTCATGGAATTTATTCAATGGAGAAAACTGATTTGTTTGTCCTGCAGAAGTTTCCACATTGAAGTTGGGCACAGGTGATGTGCACCTGTAGTCCCAGTTCCTCAGGAGGCTGAGGCAGGAAGATGGCTTGATCCTGGGAGTTCAAGGCTGTAGTGCACTATAATAACAAGACTCCGTCTTTAAAAAAAATTTTTTTGGCTGGGCGCAGTGGCTCACACCTGTAATCCTAGCACTTTGGGAGGCGGAGGTGGGTGGATCACCTGAGGTCAGGAGTTCAAGACCAGCCTGGCCATCATGGTGAAACCCCATCTTTAAATTTAAAAAAAAAAAATTAAAATAAAAAAAAATTTTTTTTAAAAAGAATTTTTCATATTCTACAGATGGCTAATTAAATCCTATGGTGTCATTTAACATATTTCTTTCTCTACTTTTGTTTTTTGATTTCTGTAAACTGGCAATTGAATCTAGAAGTATAATCAGCTGGTATTGTTAATTGTTAGCAAGACAATTTCATCACTGGTGGCATGCAATTCCATCAGGAGGCTCACACTAACTTGTGTGTTTTGGGGATGTTTGTGATCATTGATGGTAACTACCTGGTTTTATTATTAAGAGCTTGTAAAATAGCGATATTGTTACTCTATCATTGCTTTTGCTTCTTAGCAAGAATGTTTGTATAGAGATAAACTTCTCCACATTAGGTATTTATTTACTTTGTCATACAGTTTATATAGGAAAGGCAAGTTAAAATATTTGAGTTTTCTTCCATATTTACCATTTTTCAAAATTATAAGTTGGTTCCCTAGCATCCCCTAAATGTGACAGTGAAGTTTTTTTGTTTGTTCTGTTTTAGAATTGCTGTAAAGTAATAGATTTAAATATTAATAACTGCGATGGATTGCTTTTCGTACGTGCCTAAATTATTCCAGCTTTGGCCTGAGAGAACCCCTTTAAGTTTGTTCATGAGACCATTTGGCACAACTCCAGGAGTCTTTGGATAGTTTATTTGCTCTGTGGAATGAGAAGAGCTTCAAAGAACTTCTTTTTGAAGTTCTTTTTGTCTTTAATAAGTCATGTTCCAGGCTTTTTAAATCTAGTTTCTGCCTCAGACTGGCAAATTAAAAGGAATCTTACTTCATTTTGGTGGAATTGTTATTTAGAGACCACAGTCCAGTGCGAGGGGTACTCACTGTTGTATGTTATTATCATTCATGGTTTCTAGGGCTTTTCAGTGGACAGATACAGAAAATACTTTTTTTTTTTTTTTTTTTTTTTTAAGAAAAGCTAAATGTAGAATTACACAACTATTTCCAATTCAAATATACAATTACTAGCTAGGCATGGTGGCTCACACCTGTAATCCCAGCACTCTAGGAGGCGGGTAGATCACTTGAGGTCAGGATTTCAAGATCAGCCTGGTGAACATGGTAAATCCTGTCTCTACTAAGAATACAAAAATTAGCTGGGCATGGTAGCACACACCTGTAGTCCCAACTACTCCAGAGGCTGAGGCATAAGAATTGCTTGAACCCAGGAGGGGGAGGTTACAGTGAGCCCAGATCTTACCACTGCACTCCACCATGGGTGACATCTCAAAAAACAAAAAACAACAACAACAAAAATGCATAGGATTACAGAATTTTATATTGATACCTCATTTCTCTTGATTGCTAAAGATATTAACATAACTGCTTATTTGTTTTGTTTCATATAATATATATTAGTTTTAGAAAAAATAGCAATATTATTATTAACACTGTTTTTACTGGAAACAGTTTGCACTTTCTTTGAAGTTCTTTTTGTATTCAAGGTGTATATATTCCGCTTTTGTTATATAGTCACATTATGATTTAGAGAAATGATTCTTTCGTGTGGTTATGCTGACACTAGTTTCATTTTGCTTTTGATATTTAGGGATTGCTTTTTAAAAAAACATTTTAATTTTGTTTTATAATCATGTAAAAGATTACATGTCTCTAAAATCTACAAAACAAGGTGTTTAAGAAATTTACCTTCTCTCCCTGTCTACCTTGTTTCCCCTTTTCCTTCACGTAGATAATAATTTTTAAAAAGTTGTGTTTTGGCCAGGTGTGGTGGCTCACGCCTGTAATCCCAGCACTTTGGGAGGCTGAGGCAAGCGGATCACAAGGTCAGGAGTTCGAGACCAGCCTGACCAACATGGTGAAACTCCATCTCCACTAAAAATACAAAAATTAGCCAGGTGTGGTGGCACATGCCTGTAATCCCAGCTACTCTGAAGACTGAGTCAGGAGAATTGCTTGAACCCCGGAGGCGGAGGTTGCTGTGAGCCAAGGTCGTGCCACTGCACTCCAGCCTGGGTGACAGCGAGACTCCATATCAAAAAAAAAAAAAGTTATGTTTTATATTTTTTATAATTTAATCATTCAGTTTCTTAACTACCTAAGGATTTGTGTGTGTGTGTGTGTATGTGTATGTGTATGTGTGTATATGTATACTCATCTATGTGTTCATATATATGTGTGTATGTATATATTTGTATTTATATTCCCTACCCCCAGCCCTTGCATAAGCGTAGCGTACTAGATGTACACTTTGCTCTACCTTGCTTCTTTTGCTTAATATATCCTGGAGATCAGAGCCAGGCAGTTTAATTCTTGTTTTAGTTCTAATACTGACAACTTAATGAACCTTCAAACAAGTACTGTTTTTTGGCCTTCAAAATGATGACAAGGATATTCTGCATTTTCCATAGGATTATTTTTAAGATAAGTCACACAGGGCATATTAGTGTGTTTTTGAAAAGTACACTTCTCTCTGTTATGTTGTTGCTATTTAGGTTTATAAAATGGGACATGGAGAGGTTTATTTCATTCACTTAAGATTCTTCTTAGAGATAAGCTTAAACACATAGTCTTTGTGTTTATATTTTTGACTATCAAATATTTTATTTGCTTGACATTAAACTTGGTGTTTAAGAGAGAAAATTATTTTAGTTCTTAATTTAATACTGTGGTTAATTCGGGACTAAAGAAATCTTCAGCGTAGGGATGTATCTGCATGTATTCCTGTGGGATTAATAAGTGTTCTTTCATTTTCAAAAATAACAAGTCATATATGTTAAGGAATATGCAAATTTCAAAATGAAGATATATGAAAATGAGAAAAAAATCATCCATAGTCTTACCACCTGAGTTTAACCTCTGTGAGTGATTCCTACATTTTTCCAGAATTTTATCTCTCTGTATCTGTGTGAATGTGTATGTATTAAGGATCATGATAAGAGTATTTTTGAGCACAGTGTCCATGAGCATCGTATAGAAGTTCTGTGGTGAGTTACAGAGGAAATAAAAGATGTGCCCTTGAAGTGTTTCTATTATGTGGTTCCACTTATCTACCTCCAGTCATTTGTGTATGTAAAAAAATGTGTGGTATTGGTGAAGGAGTTTTGGACATAGAAGGTTGAGATACGAAGGTAAGGCCTGCATCCATCAGTAAGTTGGATATGTGATCTTGGGAAAATCATTAACTCCTCTGAATCCATTTTCTTGCTGATAACTGCCCTGCCTCCATTGAGTTGATGTGACTAATGTTTGTGATATCATTTATATAAAACTACTCAGTGATAGGTGAATGAAAATGGTTAAAGGTAAAAACAAGCCAAAAACATCTTATGGTACATTTGACCACAGTATTTTAAAACTGTCATGTTTTTGAGAAGTAAGGATATGATATACAGGATTATAAGCATTTATTACAAGTGCTTTGATAATTCTCCCTAGTAGACTTCGGTAAGTTTATAAGTTAGTGAGAAAGGTGATGGGATGTGTATTTACTACCAGCACTATAGAGTTAGACTTCAGGTGGTTGCCAACATGTATAAAGTGTGGTCACACATGGTTTCATGGGTTCAGAGGAGAATAAATGTTTTTTATTGTTTGTTTTAAATGTAGGATCTTTTTGGAAAGTCAGATCCATACCTGGAATTCCACAAGCAGACATCCGATGGAAACTGGCTAATGGTTCATCGGACAGAGGTGAATATTTGAATTTGAAAAGCAGAGTGGAGGTGTTCTTTGGAATTATCATAATCTGAATTTTAAAATGTTTATATTTATAAAAATACCTATCTGAGTTTGGACTTACATATAGCCGAGTCACAAGATCACCACGTTCACGTGTTTTTCTTTCATTGAGGAGCTGCTACCATACTTTATGATTTTTATTTTGAAAAATTTTAAGCCATATAAATAACACTAAATGTATTCCTCTGCACCCCTCACCTAGATTCATCAAATGGACACACCCCCACGCACTTGTGGTCTTTCTTTGCCTCTCTCTGTCTCTGTCCCTCTCTCTCTCTCTCTCTCTCTCTCTCTCTCACACACACACACACACACACACACACACACACACACTTATGCACACATATATTTTCCTTTTGCAGAATCATCCTAATGGAGCTGCAGACATCGTAACTCTTAACCTTTAACTGCTGCAGCAGGCCAAGTGTGCTGGTTCACACCTGTAATCCCAGCGCTTTGGAAAGTCGAGGCAGGTGGATCACTTGAGGTCAGGAGCTCAGGCCAACATGGTGAAACCCCATCTCTAGTAAAAATACAAAAATTAGGCGTGGTGCCATGTTCCTGTAGTCCCAGCTACTCAGGAGGCTGAGGCACAAGAATTGCTTGAACCCAGGAGGCGGAGGTTACAGTGAGCTGAGATTGTACCAGTGTACTCCAGCCTGGGTGACAGAGTGGGACCCACCCCAAAATAAATAAATAAGTGCTACAGCAGATATGTTTAAAGAATAGGGGCATTCTATACAATTATACTTAGAAAATTAACATTTAAGATAGCTAAATGTAACATCGTTCAGTGTACCATTCATCTTCAGATTTCCTCAGTAGTCCCACATGTTTTATGTATATTTTATATTGCTTTGTTTTGTCCAGAATCCAGTCAGTGGTCATATTTTGCATTTGACTATTATATTCCCAATAGAGGACTCTTCTCCCTATCTTCCTTATACCTTGGTGCCATTGAATTTCTTGAAAATCGAGACCAGAATGCCCAACATTCTAGATTCTTCTGTTTCCTCAGAACTAGATGTAGATCGAACGTTTCTGTCAAGAACACTATGTGTGTGCCTTTGCTTCACATTTTCAGGAGCCTATGGTGCCAGGCTGCCCAGCATTGATGATGTAATGCTTAAATACTTGGTTAAACTGAGGACCACCAGCTCTCACAATATAAAGTCCTATTTTTTCCCATTTGTAATGATTAAGTGATACATGGTGTGAAACTATGAGACTGCATGAATTACCTAGCATTTCAGCCAGTGGTTTTAGCATCCATCGATGATCCTTGCCTAATCAATTATTGTATCATGGGCAGTAAAATTGTGATTTTTCAAAATCTTTTATCCTTTTTACTTATATTAGCATATTTTATCCTATTTGCTTATATTAGAGGCATTCCTCTTTCGTCTCCTGTCTCACTTTCCTTTTATTTTTAGTATCATTTTAAACTCATGGATTGTTATAACAGTGTATGCTTTGTATTTAACTCATTAGTGTATTTTTGCTGCTCAGATTAATCCAAGTTTCACTAGAGAGAGCTCCTTAAAATGGCTCTGGGTTTTTCTTTTAGACCTCGTTTGTCTTTAAACATTCTCTTAAGTTAGAGGATGTTCTCAGTTCCCGTTGTACTTTCCCTGTCCCAGAGCCAGAATGAGCCATGTCGCTTAATAAACCCTATTCCTGCAACAGCATATTAGCATTTAGACACCAACATCTGAGTGCTAAATGTGCTCATTGCTGCTGGATATCATTGCTTTGAGCCCTTTTCAGTGGACACAGCTAAGAAATTGTATATTTGTGTTTGTCTGTTTATTATGTATGTATATATAGTATTACAATTTTAAATTATACGTGTAGGCTTGTTTCTCCAACTCAGTGCCAACACAATGAGTTTCTTATTCCATATTTACCTTTTCTTACTTCATATTTGAATCTTTGTGGCCTACAATGAAACCTTGGCTGCTAATAAAATCAGTAATCCTCTGCAATTCCTTTTTTTTTTTTTAAGGACATCGTCTTGCTGTATCCGCATGATGGAGTGCAGTGTCACGAGCTCCACTCACTGCAACCTCTGCCTTCTGGGTTCCAGCAATTTTCCTGTTTCAGCTTCCCGAGTAGCTGGGATTATAGGCGTACACTACCACACCTGGCTAATTTTTATATTTTTTTTGTAGAGACATGGTTTCACCGTGTTGGCCAGGCTGATCTCAAACTCCTGACCTCAGGTGATCCGCTCACCTCTGCCTCCCAAAATGCTGGAATTATAGTTGTGAGCCACCGCGCCTGGCCATCCTCTGCAGTTTCTAAGTGTTCCTTGTAATAAGTAGACATATTTTCCAAAATAATTTTCTTCTTTCCTCAGAATGTACCACAACTGGACAATGTATTACATTTCTCATGTAACAGTTGTATAATATTGTTCTAGCTAGGTTTTTTGTGGAAAACATTGAGTTCATGAATGTTGAGAGTATAGCAAGAACCTAAGAAGGGCAGGAGCAAAATGTTAAAGAACTGGAAGTTTTTCTAACAGCTTTTTGAAACCACATTTTTATAGGTCATTAAAAACAACTTGAATCCTGTTTGGAGGCCTTTTAAGATCTCTCTTAACTCCCTGTGTTATGGAGATATGGACAAAACCATTAAGGTAATTTGAAATTATATATATATGTAAATACATACAAAAATATACACATGTGTATCTATTTTATAAAATTAACATATAAGATACTATTTAAAGAAAGTAATTGATATAACAGACACCTACAGAGTTAAATTTTGTGTGTAGAATAATACCAAAATAGAAATGTCTTCTGGAAAGTGACGTAGTTTGAGGAGGAGGCATGTTTGACTAATCTGTTGACCTAATGCTTAGTCAAACAGGGTAATTTCTATTTTATTCTGTATTTTTAAAAATAAAATGTCCAGCTTAATATTTTTTCCTTTTAATAAGATTCCTCTGCTCTGCTAATAGGAACCTCAAACTATGTGATTTGCTGTTGGTATGTCTGTTGGAGATAGAAGCACATGTCACCCTAAGAACTTAGAGCTTGCTTCTATCCTTAGCGAGGGAGGGGAGTATTGATGGTATTTTTCTGCTTTATTTTCAGAATGAGATAAGTAATTAATTGAAAGGTTTTAGAAGGCTTTAGTTTTAGAGTTACAGGGAAGTGGAATATGAACAGGAAATAGCAGATGTCTCAGTATTTTTTTTTAATGTTTTTATTCGTAGGTATTTCAAAAAAAAAGAGTGAAAGTCTAAATAAAAGAAAACTCATGGAGTGGTGTTGAGAATGAAAAAAAAAATATATATATATATATAAAAGATACTTTTGTACTAGAATTATTATCTTTACATGAGTACAGATAGAAGTCTTTTTTATGTTAAGACATCAGTAGATCAAAGGGTTTTTTTGATTTGTTTTTCTCTTTTTTTGATAATGAATATGACAAAAGCAGGCAAGTTGATATGGAATAAGTATAAGATACGGAGTCAGACCACAGTTCAAGTTTTGATTTAGTCCTTTAACTGACTAAGGGATCTTGGATAGGTAATTGAACTTTTTCATATTTATTTATTTATTTATTTATTTATTTATTTATTTTGCTTATTAGTGGGAAATTTCACCTGGATTCTTCACTTTTATAACAGAGTTAATAATGTCAGCATTGCAGAAAAGCAAAGATTAAATTAGCAAAGGTGGAAGTTTTGTAAAAATTTTGTGCCCCATTGTTACTGAAAACCTGCTCTATTTTTGCCAGGCGTGGTGACTCAGGCCTGTGATCCCAGCACTTTGGGAGGCTGAGGAAGGTGAATTGCCTGAGCTCAGGAGTTCAAAACCAGTCTAGGCAACATGATGAAATCCTGTATCTACAGAAAGTAGCTGAGTGTGGTGTACACACCTGTGGTCCCAGCTACTCAAGAGGCTGAAGTAGGAGGATCACTTGAGCCTGGGAGGCGGAGGTCTCAGTGAGCCAAGATTACTTCACACTGCACTCCAGCCTGGGTGACCGAGTGAGACCCCATCTCAGAAAACAACAACAACAAAAACCAAAAAAACTGCTTCATTTCTGAGATCCATAAGAAATTGCTTCCAGTTTGTAAAGAACTTTAAAAATCAATCTAAATATGATTTGCATAGTATTTCAAACAGTAGTGAAAATCCAGGTCCAAAATAAATAGTTGAAAACTAGCTATAAAAATTATTTTTTATCATTATACCAAATCCAGACTTTTGCTTTTCATATTAAAAATAGAACATCATTAGATGTCAGAAGGCAAGAAAATCTGGGGAAAAATGTCTAAGCCATAACCATTTGATTGTGTATAATGACATGTTAACAACAATACAGTATTTTTTAAACTTTTTTGCTCACAGTGGCATGCTTACAGGGCTATTTTATTATAGTAAGTAAACTGATTTTCTGAGCTTTTTCTGATGAATGTCTTCCATTCCTGAAAGTTTCTTGGTTTGTTTTTAACTATACACAACTTGGTTTGCTACATTATCACTGACTTTATTTCATTTAGTTCTGTATTTCTTTGCAATATCAAAAAGTCATACATTTGTGATTCTCTTACTGTTAGAAAATTGCTTATAGGAATAGTAAAGAGTTTTAGAGCAGAGAATAGAGCCAGAATCCTCAGGAGTTTCTTTGCTGCAGTGTGTTATTCTAGCATGTATTATTTTTGTCAGATCAAGTAAATATGAGAAATAATCATGCATGCTGCCACTTTGCCTAAAATGGGAATGCCTTAGTGAATGTAGTATTGTGTGGTGTGTACATTCTCTTTCATATATACATATGCACATGTGTATATATGTATACATTTATTGCACATGTTTATTATGTATATTATATGCATGTATATATGTATATTATATATCCATTAAATGTATATGAATACATGTATATATTAAATACTCACGTATATACATATGCATATGTATATGTGCATGTATTGTTATGCATACCATTGTTTAAACAGCCCATAGCACTAGTCTTTGAATTCTTGAAAAGAGAGAAATTAAATCACACAAATCATCTTACCTCAAACCATATTTGAACATATACCAGCATTATAAATATCATGTCTGCCTTAAAGGGGACAAGAGAGAGCTTTTTCTCTGTATTTGTTGTAGTGAGTAATCAAAACTTTTAGTTTAAATATATTTTTTACATTTCCTGAAATTTTAACATATGAACAGTCTAAACATCTGAACAATTTTAGCCCTTCATAATGTTTATTTAAATAAAATCTTGGCCTTGTCAAAGCTTAATCTTGTCTTAGATATAAACTGGTATTCCCTGAATGCAAATCTAAAATATAAAGTTCTGTTTTCTATGACTGAAAAATGTCTGTTTAAAAAATCATGAACTTATTAAAATAATAAAATAGTTTGTTTTCTACCTTATTACTTCCTCTAAATAATTATGGAAATTCCTAAATTTATTTTCCTTTGGCATATTAAGGAGTCATGTAAAAGGCTTTTGGTTTAAAAATTGGATACTAAGTAGGGCAAGAGTCAGACTGTCAGACTTGGTCAGTGGCCAAAATGCCTACAGAGCATTTTCTTAAAGAAACAAAATCTCTTTCTGTTACTCAAAATTGAAATTCTCTATATTGGCTGTTTTAATTGATTGATTGATTTTTAGTGTTCCTGAAGAATAATGAAACTACAAGTAAGGAACAAAAGACTTCCAGTTATGATAAGCATTCATTTCATAGAACTGAGGGGAAAAACAGTCACTTTGCCAAGTAAACATATAAAATCCTGAGCATTTAGTTTGAGAAGGATGTTAGCGAGATGAATCTCTCTACTGGCTGATAGTAAATGCTTTTATTTTAAAGTACAGGCTGTAGGATTTCAAAGTGTCCTTAGCACAGCTTTACTTTACCTGTGTTGGTTACCACACAAGGCATACCATCTTCTAAGACTTTTTATTTAATTCCTCTTAGTTTTAGTTCTGCAAAGTGGGCATCATAGTAACAGGATTCCCACTCTGTCTACCTCATAAGGCTGTTTAGAGAATGTGCACAGTGTTGTACATAATGTTGGCAGAAATGAAATGACCTGTTTTGATATAAAGTACTATTAAAAAGAATTGGTGTTAAATGTTCACAATCATGGTCAGTTTTCAGCTTCCCTTGAACACTTCTGCTTGCTGATAGTTCATGCCACTTAACTTTTCCCATTGCAAAGAATATTCTAGTATTCTGGTGAATATGTACTCTGACTGCTCTGTCAACCTGTCACGAAATTACATGCAATTCAAATGCTATCACCTCTCTTTCTTTCAGAGAGAGACAGTATTTAATCAAAACCAGATCTAAGACTAGAACTCACCCTGTCTAACATGGAAATAGAGTAAATATGACCCAGTGTAGATACTTCCTCAATGGACTACGTACCCTTACCCTGGAATTGTTCTTTTCATTGTAAGAATTGTGATCTTCATAATGATGCAAATCTGGCTTCATCATGTCTAATACAAACCTAGCATCACCAGATTGTAGCTAATGAAATATGTTTATCATAATTCTAAATTATCTAGGATTTAATTATATAATTTTTTGCTTCCTAGAATGTTGACTTCCTTTCTTTCTCCAGACACTGGCTTTTAGCCATTGCATAGTAATAAGGCAAAGAAGTGGATGAGAAAGAAGGTATAAAACTCCATTTTGCCCTTTATCAGCACTTAGAGAAGGCATGATAGAGGAGCTGGAAATTGCTTAATGTGGAATTGAAACAGTATTTGTGTTTTTCATCTGCCTGTGTTCTGTCTCAGATCCCCATTCCAAGGATACGCAGGATTTGAAAGGGTTTCAATATTGCTTCTCTAGGATGTTAATTCCTACTTTCCCAAGTAGGGACTGCATATTACACATTTTCATTTAGTTTAATTAAAAGGGCACTTCACGATAGGCTATATTGATTGCAGCCAGTACTCTTTAATAAAATTATATTGATTTTTATATATTTTTATTATATTTAATTTCAGGTGGAGTGTTATGATTATGACAATGATGGGTCACATGATCTCATTGGAACATTTCAAACCACCATGACAAAACTGAAAGAAGCCTCTAGAAGCTCACCTGTAAGTTACATCTTTGCATTTGCATATTCTTTATAGTTCAGCCATGTGTTTATTACTGTATTTCCTTTTTCTCCTGTAGCATCAAACGGTTTACTATGCTTATACTCTATATTGCATAATGCTTTGAAATATTTAGTAATCACTTAATTTACAATTCATACGTGGGGTATGAATTTTATTGAGCAGAGCACCACATAACAGTTACTAATGCCAGATGAGGACTGCAACTACATGGAGGAAAGCAAAGATCATCACAATGTCAGTCACTAGGAATAGAATTCCAAACCTTTTTCCCATTGTATCATGGTATTGAGTCACCAAGGCAAACACAATGCCTGCAATCCCTAGAGGGAACCACACTTTACTCGCAGAGAGAAGAGACAGAAATATCACCTTTAAAAGTAGGCATCGGTTTCCATGGCCAGCAGTTCCATCCAGCAGTCAACGCAGGACAGTTAGCCGGAGTGCACCCATCTAGTGCTGTAATAGAATGACCCTGCCCTCTCAAATAGACTATGAAATACTGAAAGCTGGGCCTGAGGGTCATTAAGCATATGCTTCAGCAGGACCAAAGAGCACTTACTGAGCCTGAAGGTATAAATGAATAAGTGAAATAATCTAGCCCTTTTTCAATGAGAATTCTGTTTGTGGAATTTCCGTAGCTCTAATACTCAATATTTTCTTTCTTTTTTTTAGTTGTTTTTTTCTTTTTCTCTTTAATTTCTAATACTCAAATATTAATACTTGTGATTGTGACTGAGACCCTGGCAAGATGCTGAATCATCAAATAATTTCTTTAACATAATTTTGTTTTACATCATTCTGTTATACCACTGTTTTTTAGTGTTTGATTCTTGGAAAATTAGTAATCACTGTCTGAAGTACATAAGTGGCTTTGTGTTAACCAGAAGAGGTGACTTATCAAGTATTGAATATCTTTTGTATTATTATTAGGCAAGACAGTGAGAATTTGAAGGTATAACTTAAAGATGATTATAATATCACTGTGAAAAAAAATTAAATGAGACACTAGAGAATAACACAGAGTATGTAACTACATTTCATATAGTTGTAGAAATTTAAAGAGGTAGATGGAGATCAGAGAAGACTAGAGTAGTAGAAGTCATAGAGGAGAACAACTTGAGCCAAGCCCTAAATATGGGAAGGAAGAGGGAAGGAGAGGGAAGGAAGATCAGTATTTTGGGGGAAGGAAATATAAAGCAAAAGGAGGTATTAGATCAATTTCTAACACGTATTCCCAGTGGGAAGAGAAGATCTTTGCTGCATATTTTACCATAGAGTTGGACTTCATATATTTGTTTTATGATGTTACTTTTTCTTTTCTTTTCTTTGCAGCATATTTTTGTTCTTTATGTTAGTATCAGCTAGTAGTGATATTTTGTTTACTTTATTATTAAGTGGAAAGATTATGACTTGGAATATTTACAAGGAAATTATCTGTAGAGGTAAAATTTATTTGGGGGAACTATTTTGAAAGGTATGCAATTTTAGGAGTGCCTTAATTGTTGGAAATTTACCTGATAAATATTCCACATACTTAACATATTATGTAATTGTTTCAGAGTTATATTTTGCAACAGACCTTTATCAGTTGGCACTTTGATTCTAAAGGAAAAAAAAAAATCATTCATTTAAATTCACCTTGGCATTTCTAATATTGCTAATAAAAAGTAACAGTTTGTCTTCTCTCCGTATAGGTTGAATTCGAATGCATAAATGAGAAAAAGAGGCAAAAGAAAAAAAGCTACAAGAATTCAGGTGTTATCAGTGTGAAACAGTGTGAGGTCAGTTGGCCTTGGCTACTTATAATGAGAACATATTTCAAGTTCTTCTGTTAGTATGGTTTATATTAAACAGATACCTGAATTTCAGGCAGTTGAAAATCACATGAGTATCTGGTCACCTTTAGCAAAAAGGATCAAGTAGGGAAGAGCAAAAAAAAATCTTTCAAGTAACCTGCTTCCAAGGTTTAACAACTTGTTAGCAAAGGACAAGTTTTTCATTATCTTAGGAAATAAAAGCATCGTAGTATTTTCTCAGCCCATTGATGGATATGACCTGACCCAATGCATTTATCCTCATCATAATTTCAATATGAAATGTTATGAATAGAGGTGAAAAGCCAAGATTTCTTAGAATGAACGAGTTTTTGTTTTTTAACATCTTTACTACTATGGTTATTAAATCCAACATACTAGATTCATTACTAATATTTTAAAACTTAAAGTGAGTATATTTCATCTTTGGCTGTTAATATTTTAATCTTAACATTGCTATAATTATCATAAAGTAAAATCTTACAGATTTATGCACACAGGGGAAGGGGTACCTTAAACCTGAATGCAGGGGTTATTTCCATGTTTATATTATGTCCTGTTCAGTTTACAAACTTTTGAAAATATATGCCAAAGATCTTTTTCGCCTCCCTTGTATAGTAAGAGAGTTGTAATTTTAACAGTTTTCTCTTATTTTTAGATTACAGTAGAATGCACATTCCTTGACTATATAATGGGAGGATGTCAGCTGAATTTTACCGTAAGTAACACACTGAATTTTTCAGCATAGGCTATAACAGGTTACTTTTTTCTCCATGTTGCATTATTTTTTCCTTCACTGCAAAACTGACTTTGTGATGAAATTTTTACATTCTGTTTAGCATAGTCTCCTCAGCATCCTCAGGCAGGTTGTCTGGGCTCAGCAGCTCTCAGCTTTGTTGATGAGATCGACTTCCTCCTGAGAGAAAGCAGATGTGTACAAACCATTGGTTATCCCGAAGTAATTGAAGGACTAGAAAGCATTAGTGAGACAAACTTATAAAAGACAACTCCTAGGCCTAAATAATGAAGTAATTGAAGGACTAGAAAGCATTAGTGAGACAAACTTATAAAAGACAACTCCTAGGCCTAAATAATGGGTATAATAATTTATTATTTAAGCCATCTAGAAAATAGGTGCGGCAGGTTGTTTCACATTAGGCTTTACTTGTTTAATTGTCTGTGGAAACAGTGGCAGGCATTTGTTAGGAAGTGGCAGTAGGCTCCAGGATGAATGCTTTAAGTTTGCATATCCTGTCTCTTTAAGTTTTCCTGGACATCAAGCACAGGTGTCCCTGCCTTCTCCTTAGTAAGGGCTGCAATTGTTATTTGGCAGGTGGGAGTGGACTTCACTGGCTCCAATGGTGACCCAAGGTCTCCAGACTCCCTTCATTACATCAGCCCCAATGGCGTTAATGAGTATTTGACTGCTATCTGGTCTGTGGGACTGGTCATTCAGGATTATGATGCGTGAGTATGACTTTGGAAAAACGAAAATACATGTTTTCACAATTCCCAAGAAAGGGTAGTTTTGTTTCATTGGCTGGTACTTTGATATAGGTGGTAGGATGATGCTTTCTCCCTAAAACCTGCCTTGTCTTATCGTCTTCTGTTTTTCTCTTTGTGGCAATCTCACTGTTTACCTTTGATCTCTAATATCTTGCTGTGATTACTTATAATATGTTGTATATACTTTGCTTTATATTATATATAGTTTGCTATTTAATTCCTGACTGATGTCAGCAAGGATCTTGTTTCTTTGGTCTGGTTTCCATGGCACATATTAATTAGGCATAAGTTGTTTGAGTGATTAAAGCCCAGATGATATGTTTTATAAACACTAATAAAAACTATTTCTTTTTTTTTTTTTTTTTTTTGAGACGGAGTTTCGCTCTTGTTACCCAGGCTGGAGTGCAATGGCGCGATCTTGGCTCACCGCAACCTCCGCCTCCTGGGTTCAGGCAATTCTCCTGCCTCAGCCTCCCGAGTAGCTGGGACTACAGGTGTGCGCCACCATGCCCAGCTAATTTTTTTTTTGTATTTTTAGTAGAGACAGGGTTTCACCATGTTGACCAGGATGGTCTCAATCTCTTGACCTCGTGATCCACCCGCCTCGGCCTCCCAAAGTGCTGGGATTACAGGCGTGAGCCACCGCGCCCAGAATAAAAACTATTTCTTAACGTATCTATCTCCTTGGTAGTTGCCAAATTACTTTTTAATGGTGACTTTTAACAAGTGCTGAAGGATAACTAGATCTAATGGCTATAAAATATTCTGAATGTTTATTAATGGTTAGGTTTTAAATAGATTTAAATATTAAATAGGTCCTCTTGAGGGTTTATTAAACCAGAGGGAAAATGTCTGCATTAGTAGTGTTTTTCCTGGATCTGTTAGGAGTAGAGAATACATTTTCACTTGCGTTTGTCTGTTATTATTTTATTTACATGTCGATGGGGCTTTTCATTAATCTGTAGCATTTAAAGAGGTGAAGTTTTTAGGCAAAGGCAAATAAATCTAAAGCAAGATGGCAATTCCAATTTCAGGCTAGTAAGTTTTAAGGGAAAAATCATTAAATATATTTAACATATGTAGAAAGTTATTTTATTAGAAAGTAGTGAGAGCTTAGAAAGTTGGTCAGATATGATATAGAATTTAAAAATTAATAATTTCTCACTAGCGGATATTTTAAAAGTTATCTTAATTGAGAGTATGGCATTAGGACATGACCAGTGGAACCAAGGAAACAGTCCAGAAATAGACCCATGTGTATAAGTGAATTAGGGGAAGGAGTTGTAAAAGCTGTCAAACGGGACAAGAATTGAATTTGGATCATTTGGACAAGAATTGAATTGACTCATACTTGCATGTTTTAGGATAATATTCGGTGTAAATTAGAGTACAGACCAAACTGCTGAAATGAACACAGAAAGACAAAGTAGCCTTGAGAAAATAGAGGTTTATTTCACTTCATGTTGCATGTCTAGAGGTAAGTATAATAGTTCAGAACTGATAGGGCAGTTGTGCTATTCTCAAGTCACAGCTTCCATCCCTGTCCATAGCTCTGGATCTCATCTTCTCCAACCAGTGGGAAGAGAAGAAAGGGACCAGGGAGTGTGTGTGGATTCCTTTTTAGGGGCGTGATTCAGAAGTGGGTGACAAATCACTTCTACTTACAATCTCCTTCACCAGATCCTAGCCACCTGATCACATCCAGCCCAGAGAAGCTAGGAGGTGCAGTCTCTACCTCAGGTGTTCTATTATTTATTTTTTGTTTTGTTTTCTTTTTTGTTTTGAGATGCAGTCTCACTCTACCTTCCAGGCTGGAGTGCAGTAGCGCAGTCTTGGCTCACTGCAACCTCCGCCTCCTGGGTTCAAGCAATTCTCCTGCCTTAGCCTCCTGAGTAGATAGGATTATAGATGCGGGCCGCCACACCTGGCTAATTTTTATATTTTTAGTAGAGATGGGGTTTCACCATGTTGGTCAGGCTGGTCTCTAACTCCTGACCTTATGATCTGCCCACCTCAGTCTCCCAAAGTGCTAGGATTACAGGCGTGAGTCACCACACCTGGCTGGTGTTCTATTATTAAAGGAGAGAATGGATATTGTTAGAGAGCAGCAATTTCTGCTTCATATCCTACTCAAAGCACTTTCCAGATGAATCAGGAGTTTAATATCAAAAGCAAACTTCAAAGTTCTAGAAGAAATATATGTGAATTGTTTATAATCTTGTAGTAAGGAAAACCTTTTTTTTTTTTTTTTTTAAGATAAGGTTTCACCATGTTGGCCAGGCTGGTCTTGAACTCCTGACCTCAGGCGATCCTCCCACCTCAGCCTCCCAAAGTGCTAGGATTACAGGTGTGAGCCACCACACCCAGCCAGAAAACCTTTAAGCAAAAGCAAAGGCACAAATCATGAAACATTTTTTGCATTCACATTCATTAATATTAAAAACTATGAAAAGAAAGACCAAAGAAAGATGCTTTAAACAAAGTTGAAGACAGACAACAAACTGGGGAAAAAATGTATCTTTCTTTCTTTTGGTCTGGCTCTGGCGCCTACACTGGAGTACAGTGGTGCAGCCATTGTTCACTGCACCCTCACTTCCTGGGCCCAAGTGATTTTCCCACCTCAGCCTGGGAGAAATATTTCTGACATGGCATCGGCTCTATCTTCAATGCAAAACTAACTGTTAAGAATAAATACGAAAAGAATATTCCTTGTAGAAAAATTATGTTCATGACAATGTTTTATAATGGCAGAACATTGGCTATCAGACATCTGGGGGAGGATATCCATACTGTGAGATACTCAGCTGCTATTCACGTGATATTATATATTCAGGTCCACTGTCCCCATCCCTAATGTATGAATATTTGTATTAAGTGGCATAAATAAAAGCTACTGATAACCTCTGATCATTTGAGGTCAGGTTTTGCTACCAAATGAGTTTGCTATAAACTAGTAAAAAAAAGAATTGTGGTTTTCAGGGCTTCATGTATTTACTCATTTGATCACTGAAATGATACACAAGATTTAAGTAGAGCAGAGTAGATTATAAAACATGACTATAAACTCCATTTCTACAAAATCTATAGGGAGAAGTATTTTTCTCCCTCAGTGCACAGAAAAATATGTAGAATGAGAGTTGTCAAATATTAGCACTGATTCTCTTTGGCAGTTAATATAAGTAATCTTTGTTTTATCTTCATACTTTTCTAAGATTTTGAAAAATTGTTTTTGAAATGAGCTCATATTGATTTTATTGTGAGCAAAGATAAAGCTCTTTTTATTTTGAAAAAACATTTTATTAAATTTTTTTTCTTTTTAGTGATAAGATGTTTCCAGCTTTTGGTTTTGGAGCTCAGATACCTCCTCAGTGGCAGGTAAGAGGAAATCTCATTTTAAAGCTTTGCCTCCTAGAAAAGCAACCCAGGCCTCATCAGTCCTTTTTCCATCCTTGACAGGTATCACATGAATTTCCAATGAACTTCAACCCATCCAATCCCTACTGTAATGGTAAGTTAAAAAACAAACATGATGACTTCAAATGGAAAGGCTCGCTAGTCTTTACTTTGTTCTTTGTTGTTTTTTTCTTGTGATTAAAACTACTCAAATTTCATCTCTAGGTTTCATCTTCTTACATATTTAACTTTCTATCGTATAAGGTAGAAGAATTGCACCAGGTTGGTGGTTAGGGTGATCATGATATTTATGGGGCAAATCAGTATTATGATGATGAAGTTTGTTGCTAAATCCTTCTACCTTAATAACTTTAATTGGACAAAAAAATTCTCAATCTTTGGAGTAGGTCAATACAAATAATCATATATTAAAAGTATCTTCACATATAAATAGATTTAAAAAGAAACTTTCAATAAAATTAGTAATTTTTTTTTTTTTTTTTGAGACGGAGTTTCGCTCTTGTTACCCAGGCTGGAGTGCAATGGCGTGATCTCGGCTCACCGCAACCTCCGCCTCCTGGGTTCAGGCAATTCTCCTGCCTCAGCCTCCTAAGTAGCTGAGATTACAAGCACGCGCCACCATGCCCAGCTAATTTTTTGTGTTTTTAGTAGAGACATGGTTTCACCATGTTGACCAGGATGGTCTCGATCTCTTGACCTTGTGATCCACCCGCCTCGGCCTCCCAAAGTGCTGGGATTACAGGCTTGAGCCACCGCGCCTGGCCAAAATTAGTAATGTAATAAACAGATCTTTTGAAGCTTTTTTCAAAGTAGTAGTCACTTTCTACAAAGAAAAAAGTATCCAGCATCTAATACTTGTTGCTCATATAGTATTCTATAAGTAGCTGAGATGGGCAAAAGAAACAAAGAATTGAGCTTCTATAGCAGCTTTCCTCTGTGTAGAGAGCAGGAGGCAGATATTTGTCTTTCATTTTACTTTTTTCTTTGATTTATTAAAAAAAATAGAGTCAGGGTCTCGCTCTGTTGGCCAGGCTGATCTCAAACTCCTGACCTCAAGCTATCTTTTTGCCTTCTGCCTTGGTACTGGGATTAGAGGCATGAACCACCGTGCCCAGACATGTTTTTTTTTTTTTTTTTTTCCTTATACCTCAAATGTCCCAGTGCTTCTTGTTTTTGTTGTTGTTGTTATTTGTTTGTTTGTTTTAACGACATTGAGCAATCAACTGTAAATGCTAGCTCTTCCACTAAATTATGTATTGGACTGAAGAGTTTGGAGAAGGGAAGGTAGGGAAGGTAGGTGTGGGAGCAGATGCATAATTTAAAATTCTAGACAATAAGCTAATTTTCTGCTAAGGGCTCTTTTGACAATTACAAATGTGTAGCTTTATAACAGAAGAAACTGTTTTTTCCTTTTCTTCCTAAGTAATACTCATAAGGTGGAAAAGCATGAACAGTTCTGCGGGGGGCAGGGGAGCAGTTTGCAATATGGCTTCATTCTTTTCCCCAGAACACTTTTTCCATACTAATTCAGTGTTCCTTTGAGGCACTTTCAGTGGCTGGTTATGACCTCTTCTATTACCTAGCCATTTGAAACTGGGAATGTTATTCTTTTTAAGAAATATGCTTCATGTTTATAATGAAAGTGGAATAATTTTTGGAATTTGTTGTAATTAGCTTTCATTTATTGTAACAGAATATGGGTGATGTAATTCATTTTAGAAGTTTAGTCCCTGTGTAAGTAATGTAAGGCCACTTTGGGCTGTTCACCAAGTGGTTTACACTCTGGAAAAAGCGTTGGTTTGGAGATACTGTCCAGCAAAAAGCTCAGGGCCTTATTTTAAGGCAAGGAAGTTTCTTCCCCTTTTCCTAACTAATCATTGAACTTAGTTGCCTTAGAAATAATATGCCTTAGAAATAACTTGTTACTTTGATGCCTAGAAAGGGTTTTGGCACAATTCAGTTTTAATTGAGGAACTGAAGGCTATTGATATTTGTGAAGAAATTAAATGAATTATTTTACTTTTGTTACTACTGGACTGAATCCTAGTTACAACGACCTTATGCATGTAAAGTCACCTCTGCATATGAATTAGTTATGTTCTCAAAGGTTGTTCATAAGTCTACCTGTTCCTAAGTTCAAAGGAATTAACAGGAGTTTATTGGAACCCTTAAATTTTAAGAGGAGAGAGTTGGTTTCATGAAGCTTTTTAGCCAAGTATGGTCATGCACTGCATAATGACATTTTAGTCATTGACAGACCACATATATGACAGTAGGCCCATAAGCTTATAATACTATACTTTTACTGTAAAGACATAGAAAAGGTACAGTTGATATAATTGCCTACATTATTCAGAATATCAATATCCAGTACTGATTTTTAATCTAGGAGCAATAGGCTACACCATATAGCCTAGGTGTGTAGTAGGCTGTAACATCTGGGTTTGTGTAAGTATACTCTATGATCACATGATGATGCAATTGCCTAATAATGCATTTCTCAGAATTTATCCCCATTAGTAAGTGACCTGTGACTATATATGCTTCTCTTTTTTGTTATTCTGTGTTCTAGTGGACATTTTAAAAGCAAGAGGCCTGTTCTGATTTACATTAAGTTTTTTTGTGGCAAGTATGTGTGATGATCTCAGCAAGTATTGTTGGAAATTCTTTAGAATTTCTGTTACCCTATCTGCATCCTAAGTGTTCTCATATTACAGGCGGATTCAACAGGTGCGTGTGTGGGATACAAATTTCATCGGCAGTGCTTTGACCAGCAATGTCAGTCAACTTTCACTGGGTTGTGCTGTTGTAATAAACAGTCTCTGAATCTCAGTGGCTTTGGTGACAATGCCCCAGCAGGTCTAGGGCAGTACCCCTAAACAAACACATCAGTACTTCTGCAGCAAAATGGATTAATAACCTGGAAGTTAATATTTGGAACTAATACAGTCTGTGATACAATGATTAACCTTTAACTTATTGAATAAACACTTGTATCAGCTAATTAACTAGAATTAATATTAGGTTTATGGCCAGCTGGTATTTTTGTAGAACCTCCGGCAGCATATGCAAATGATTTTTTATTAATAACACTTTCTTACCTTTAATCATCAGTCGTATGATATGGAACATTTTCTGTGGTTTTCTATGAGAGCTAGATTACCAACATGCACTAAAATTAAGCAAAAAGGGGCCAGGCGCGGTGGCTCCCGTCTGTAATCCCAGCACTTTGGGAGGCTGAGGTGGGTGGATCACGAGGTCAAGGATTGAGACCATCCTGGTTAACACGGTGAAACCCCGTTTCTACTAAAAATACAAAAATTAGCTGGGCATGGTGGTGCACGCCTGTAGTCCCAGCTACTCAGGAGGCTGAGGCAGGAGAATTGCTTGAATCCAGGAGGCAGAGGTTGCGGTAAGCCAAGACTGCGCCATTGCCTGGGTAAATGAGAGTGAAACTCTGTCCCAAAAAAAAAAAAAATTAAGCACAAATGTAACAGTCCTACTGTAGACTAATGAATAATTTCACTGAGATGGAAGTAAATCCCTTTTACTGGGTGAGGACAGAGGTTATAGATTTTTGCAATGGAGCATACCTATGGAGTTATATAACACAGAGCTTAGAGGAACTCCTGCATATAGAACTTTTGACTAATTAAAGCACTATATGTTGATATATATAATCAGATTAGCCAGTATTGTGAATAAACACATTGTGCTTAAACATTTTTCATACTGCTTTTTTTTTGTTCTAGGAATCCAAGGCATTATAGAGGCATATCGGGCTTGCCTTCCTCAGATAAAACTCTATGGACCAACTAATTTTTCTCCAATCATAAATCATGTGGCCAGGTTTGCTGCTGCAGCCACACAACAGCAGACAGCCTCCGTAAGTGTTCTGTGGCCAGGGGACGGGAAGAATGTGGATTGGTAGTGGCTCCTAGTGCCATTTAAAAATTTTTTGGGGGTTGTCATTATACAAAGTCAAGGCAAGACACAATAGTCATTCTTGGTTTGGGAGTGATTTTTGTTGTTGTACTAGTGATGGTTAAAAATAAGACAACAACAAACGAATACCTGGTGTTTATGTGTCTTGTGTCTGTCCTTTGAATTAACTTTCTTAGATAAAATGCCTATCCTCTACCTTTTTGAAGTAGACATAACAAATTAAGGCTTGTGGAAACTTACCACGAGTATTCTTACAGGATTTCTTATTGTAATAAAGGTATTTCAATGAGCTAACCGTGACCTATTGGTCCTTGGATGCCAAATCTCTCTTACCTTCAGTATATGCAGAAGCAAGTTAGGGGAACTACCTCACACTGTTGTTGTAAAGGTTAGATAAGTCATATAAAGTGTATAGTGCCTGTATCAGAGTAAACACTCAGCGTATGTTAGCTAATATTGTAACTCTTATTTCTATTCTAGACTTAAATAACTTGAAATATAAAGTTACTACCTTATGTAACATTTTACTCCTCTCTGAAAAGGTTTATCTTAGGTGACATAATCTGGGGAATGATTTTGTCACTTATACCATATCTATTTTTTTTTTTTTTTGTATTTTAGTTTGGTAAACAATTCTAACATTTTTATATTTATTTGATCTTCTGAGAATGAAATTTCCACTTGCTCCCTTGATTGATACTTTGACATATTTAATACTTTTGAGTTAAACTGTTTATTCCCTAGCCTTATTGAAAGGTTAATCTTTGACATTTAATGTCTTGCTTCCATGTATTTTGCCAACCCTATTTTGTGGTCTGCTGCACTTTTAATGAACCTGTATTTTTGTAAGAGTCCATTTCCTTGTCATCAGAGAAGCCTGGAATATTTTATGTGGTGGTATCCAGGGTAGAGACTGGCAAGGAAAATGAACAAGAAGGACTGGATGACTCATCAAGCCAGAGATGCCATTAGCCATCGCTTGACTTGCTCAGTGAACATGTTTTCTTTTTCTGGCAGCAATATTTTGTACTTTTGATTATTACTGATGGTGTGATCACAGACCTTGATGAAACCAGGCAAGCTATAGTTAATGCCTCCAAACTGCCTATGTCCATCATCATTGTTGGAGTTGGAGATGCTGACTTTGGCGCCATGGAGTTTCTGGATGGTGATGGTGGAAGTCTCCGCTCCCCATCAGGCGAAGTGGCCATCAGAGATATTGTCCAGTTTGTGCCTTTCAGACAGTTCCAGAATGTGAGTACCACTCCTCCCTACTCAGACACCCAAGTGATTGAACACAGACCTTTGCCCATCCACAGCGAGGCAGTTGAGTAGGTGTGAGGGGTTAGACGATGTGTGAACACTTTTCTTTGTCCATTTGAGAGCTCCCATTTGATTTGGCAGTGTTGCTTCAGGATGTAGATTATGTGCTTCTTGCAGTCTATATGATAAATTGTTTTAGAATAGTATTGCAAATGTTGTGAGTATTTTATCTTTACCTTTGTAACAACAGGAAAAACTCTGTGTAAGTGTATGCCAAATTCCCCTCACGCTGGAAGTTTCATTTGATGAATATCTCTTGGAAGACTATTTTACCCAGTTTACTCCTGTGGGAACATATTGCAGAGCTATAGTACAGAATCACAGACAGGATATTTACATTGGAATAGTCAAGATGCATCACAAGGATCCCTCTCATTGCCCTTTTATAGCCACATCCCCTCCCTTCTACTTCTGTCCCTTCTTTAACCCTTGGAAACCACTTACTAATCTGAACTTCATTTCTGTAATTTGGTCATTTTAAGAATGTCATATAAATGGAATGGTACAATATGCAACCCTTTGAGATTGGCATATTTTTCCACTCAGCATCATTCTCTCGAGAATCACCAAGGTTTTCAAGTACTCCTTTTTATTGCTGAGTCATATTCCATGGTATGGATATACCACTGTGTGTATAACCATTTCCCCACAGAAGGATAGCTGGCTCTTGCCATTTTTTCTGTCTCATACATAAGGCTGCTATAAACATTTATGCATGGGTTTTTTTTTTTTAATTGTTGTTTGTTTGTTTTGTTTTTGTTTTGGTAGAGTCTACTCTGTCACCCAGGCTGGAGTGCAGTGGAGTGATTTTGGCTCACTGCATCTTCGGCCTCCCGGGTTCAAGCGATTCTTGTGCCTCAGCCTCTGGAGTAGCTGGGATTACAGGCACATACCACCACACCTGGCTATTTTTTTTTCTATTTTTTAGTAGAGACAGGGTTTCACCATATTGGCAAGGCTGATCTCCAACTCTTGGCCTCAAACGATCCACCCACCTTGGCCTCCCTTAATGCTGGGACTACAGGCATGTACCACTGTACCCACCTATGCATGGATTTTTGTGCGAACCTAAGTTTTTATTCCTCTGGGATAAATACCTAGGATTGCAGTTGCTGGGTCATATGGTAGTTACATGTTTAATTCTTAAAGTAGTTGTTAAACTCTTCTAAAGTGGCTATATCATTTAACATTCCCACCAGCAATGGGAGGGGAAGGAGGGGGTTGTTGTGATTATAAAGTAGTAATGTTAGGTAGGGATCTTTGTGGTGTTAAGGTAGTTCTGTGTCTTGATTGTGGTGGTAGTTACACAGATCTATGCAGGTGTCAGAATTGCATAGAATTATCTAGAAATACACACCCACTGCATAGAATTATACAGAAACACACACCCACACAAATGAGTACGTGTAAAACTAGAAATCGGAGTAAGTTCTGTGAACTGTACCAATGTCACCTGCCTGGTTTTGATACTGTACTATAGTTATGCAAGACGTTACCTTTGGAGGAATCTGGGCGAAGGGTACATGGTACCTTTCTTTATCGTATTTGCAACTTCCTATAAATCTATAATTGTTGTAAGATAAAAAGTAAAAAAAAAAATTAATACCATGTGAATGAAAGACTCACTTTAAAAGTTATAAAACAACAACAACAACAAAATTATCAAATGTTAGAATGCTGTCACCAAAAAAGGACTTGACAAATGTTAGCAGGGATAGTAATAGCAATCATAAGTAACATGGGTTGTTAGCACATTCCATATTTCATGGACTGCTCCTAAGAAAAGGTACAGGCCTCTAAGTTGGAATTGCTTCATTTTAGTGGCTGCTGAAGTATCCCTAGTCTTTTATCAGAAAGCCAGCAAAAATTCAGTTGTTAATACAGTCACTTTGATTTTGTTTTTCACAAGGCTCCAAAAGAAGCACTTGCTCAGTGTGTGTTGGCAGAGATTCCCCAGCAGGTGGTGGGCTACTTCAACACATACAAACTCCTTCCTCCCAAGAACCCAGCCACGAAACAACAGAAGCTGTGACCACTTCCACAGAATTCTTTTGTGCTATGTGGAGCATTGCCATCTGTCACCCCAAATCATGTATCTGCCAGTTTATGTACTTTTTGCCTTCAGCATTTATGATGTAAATCTCTCTCTCCATGGATTATATCTGTTTAAAGCATTCTTTCTAGGCTCTTTTGGGGGGACAGTGCTAAGTCCATCTTTGCCCAATCAATTCAGTGATTGATAGTGATTTACAGTAATTGCAGTGAGACTCTTTGGATTAGAATCTAGTGTGGGGAAAGCTTATTTTGTTGTTGTTTTTGTTTAGTTTCATATGATGAAAATGCTGTTTTTAAATGTCAGTAAGAACAGAAAACTGTTGGGATGATGTGGTTTGCAGGTTGCTGTACCTGATTTACTGTGTATGTTTTATAAGCCATTGTCCATGCCTGATAATGAGAGCTTCTTTAATTATATGATACTGAATTTGTTCTTGTAACTCTGTATACAGTGCTTTTCTGGGAGGTAAAAATTACCTTTCAATGCATCTGATTTTTGCTACAGTTTAGACACTATGGTTTACAAAACAGCATGCACTCATCTTAGGACTTTATGAAAAGTACTGAATGAGCAGGAAAGGCACATAATCAGTTTTTTTTTTTTTTAAATGTACAATCAACAAGTAAAAATAGCCTCATGTAAATAAGCCATTTTTATTTGCCTTTCTAGATATTTTATTTGATTGTGGAAAACTGTAAACATGGTCAGATTTGGCCTTTCTTTTCATTAACTGAGCGTGACTTTCAGGATACTGTAGATGCACAGATGGTAGGTTGTCCTGAATCCTACAATTAGGTTGCTTTAATTGAGATTTGTTAAAATGGTTAGGACTGCTTTGTCCAGAAGAGGTAAGAGGACCAAACTTCTAAGTCGAAATTCAGAATTCCATTTCCTTCTAACTAATGAAAAACTACTTACTAAAAAAAAAAAAGATTTTATACTTTCCTTGCTAGGGTCCCATACATTGATTTGTACAGGTCCGCTTAGTCATTTTCTCTTTTTCTTAAGTGCCATTTTCATCTGATTTTTAAACAAATGATACTGGTTATCTGTTAATCAAAACTACATCTTACAATTTAATAATGTGCTATTTCCTATGTCTAGAACATATTTTATTAGGCATAAAACCTGCTGTAACTTAGAAAAAAGAAAGAAAAAAGAAAACTTCTCCAACTCCTGCATTAAGATAGAGTGGATTGGCCAGGTGCCGTGGCTTATGCCTATAATCCCAGCACTCTGGGGGGCCAAGGCAGGTGGATCACCTGAGATTAGGAGTTTGAGACCAGCCTGGCCAACGTGACAAAACCCTGTCTTTACTAAAAATCCAAAAAGTTAACTGGGCGTGGTGGCAGGCACCTGTAGTCCCAGCTACTCAGGAGGCTGAGGCAGGAGAATCGCTTGAACCCGGGAGGCCAAGGTTGCAGTGAGCTGAGATTGTGCCATTGCACTCAGCCTGGGCAACAAGAGCGACACTTCATTACAAAAAAAAAAGACAGTGGATTTTATGTGCTTTTGTTTTTTTAGAGTTGAATTTCTTTTTCTGACTATTACCTTTTACAGCATATTACTTAGCAAACATTACATTTTCATAATAGATTCAGTAATATTTTATTGAGGATCTATGTGCTAAAGCTATGCATATCTATATATTGGCCAATTATCTTTAATAACTTACCATTTGAAGTAGCATGTTTATCATACATCCTTAAGTGGATGCATGCAGTGCCACGTTGATGTGCCTCTCAGTTTTATTGAAAAGCTGCCCCTTAGCCCATGTCTCTTGTTCTCTGCCTCAAGGGAGTGAGCTCTCAACCACAGAGAGTTGTGGCTTCTCAGAAGCAGCTCATTGCCAAGGCCAGGCCGAGAGGAACCTGCTTGCTGTGGTGGTTGCCTAGCCCAGGTGAGCATTTACCTACCACATTCCCAGTTGGCTAGCTGTCCTCTGGATGTTAGGTGCCTCTTAACTGGGGAAGGCACCTAACTAGTAGTCTGCTACTCCATAGTATGGCTCGATAGACGACACATCATTTTGACATTATAATAGGAGAAAAGAAAACGAATCTTTCTCACTGTTTGGAGCCATAGTTGTCTCAGATGTTCTCATTCTCTTTGTGGCTTGGAAACAGCATAGATATGTTGCTGTGGTTTTCGGAATTTTCTCTTTTAATCACAAGAAGCCTTTAAAAAAATGACTTAGACATATTCTCAGTGTACAGTAAAACAGAAGTGAGCATATCCGTTTGATGCTGAGGCAGGATCCCAGTCACCGGGCATACTTCTCCTTCTCCTTAACCAGCTCCTCAGCAGCCCCCGAGTCACCTGTACAAGGTACTTGGGAACTGTTGGTCATGAGCATTCCTGGTTTTCTTCAGCCAAATAATAGTTATCACTGTCAATTGGATTTGGTCTTCATTATTTTATATTATGACTTTATCAGAATTGTTCTTTTTAAATTGTTTTAAAATTCAAAAACATTTAATTCATTCTTGATTATGTTCATCGGTAGATGCTATTATTTGTAAGAACTGTGATCTCAGCAATCTAGGGTAATTTGTGTCTTTTTACAGTTTGGAATAAAAGCATTTACAATTTCTAAATTATCATTTTATAAAATGTTCACAGTTTTAACACTCAGCCTCATTACATGCTGATTTAATATTGTTTTATATTAAAATAGTCCTTTTCCCTGTTGTGCCACCATTCATTCAAGTGCCATTTGTTCTTAAAATGCATTTAAAGAAAAATTACCTATATTGACTTTCATACTTCATATAATCAGATATATTACATATATATATTGGAGTGGCAGTGCCCAGGATAGATGTAATATTTCCTACAGATGCCGTCACAGAGGAAATAGTATACCAACTAATCTGGTCACCTCACCTTGTGGTTAGAATTGAAATTTTAAGACCAGAAAAATTTAAAGTCTGATCAGGGATTTACAACTGTTCATTTTAGTGGTGCCTTAGGCAATGTTTCCAAAGTAAATTTAGGGCCCTATAGCTACTTATGCTATATTTTAACATAGCTGTTTTGTTTTTTTTGTAAACTTACTGGAAAGCCATCTTCACTAAGTATACCCTCGTCTTTGTATGTGTGGTTGGTAGTCATGGAAGTGACACATAAATAAACCAGAAGTTTGGTGGAACATGTTAGAAACTCTTTTGTGCTTTTTTGGATGTCATACTTGACAATAAATGTATAAGTTACTAATATATGAATTGACACTAAATATATCTTCCATTTGAATCCATTTTGGATAGTTATTTCTTGATGTGACAGTAGTATCTTGTTTTCATTTTTATTCTTTACATGTGACCAAAACAATAGAAAAGTTACAAATAAAATAAAGTGTTTTAGGTGGTCTGTGCTTCATATTTTACTGAATTAAACGATTTGGGGGATATTATTTTATGGGATTTATTTGTTTAAAAGGTATTGAGTTCGGTCCAAGATACTCTTCTGGATACAGTAAGGGAAGAATTCTTTTTTTTTTTTTTTTTTTTTTGAGACGGAGTTTTCGCTCTTGTTACCCAGGCTGGAGTGCAATGGCGCGATCTTGGCTCACTGCAACCTCCGCCTCCTGGGTTCAGGCAATTCTCCTGCCTCAGCCTCCTGAGTAGCTGGGATTACAGGCACACGCCACCATGCCCAGCTAATTTTTTGTATTTTTAGTAGAGACGGGGTTTCACCATGTTGGCCAGGATGGTCTCGATCTCTTGACCTCGTGATCCACCCGCCTCGGCCTCCCAAAGTGCTGGGATTACAGGCTTGAGCCACCGCGCCCGGCAAGGGAAGAATTCTTAGCTTATAGCTAGAATGACCTGAAATACGTAGCACTCACATTTTGTCAATCAGGTTAAGAAGGATCCACCCAACTTTAAAAAAAAAGTTTTTAAATTACTTTTGTTATGTTCCAGTCATTGGGCAGGACTTTGCCAGTGGTGACCAAGGCAGCCACAGTTGCTGCTTTTGTAGAAATAATAGTCTAATGGGGAGAAAAAACATTGAGCAAGTAATTATAGAGGTGTGAGATCTGTGTGTGAAACAACATACAGTAGAGAGAGAGATAACCCATCTTAGGAGGCAAGGACTGCTTCCCTGAGGATGTGCCATGTAAGCTATGACCTGAAAGTTAGATGGTGAACAAGGTTAAAAGTACTTAGGAAGCTGTCAGGCCAATAACAAGTATAGAGTTGAATGTTTTAGGAGTGTAAAGAAGTTTGAGTTTGTTAGAATATCAAGTATAAGTGGTAAAAGAAGAGCTGAGAGATCAGGTGGAGTAGATGGTGGTGTTTACATCCTAAGGGTCTTTGGGGGCAAGTAAGGGAGTTCAGACTGAGGCTTAGGGTAATGGGATGCCACCAAATGGATTTAAGCAAATGAACAATGTGATTATGTTTGTGCTTTTGAAAAACTGGAGGGCCATACTTTTTAGGGCAGACAGATGAGTTCAGAAGCCCACAGAGTTCCATATGGAACCCTGCGACCAAATATGGGTCTAGTCACAGTGGCTTTGCCTTGATGAAGGCCAGATGGCAAAGCTGATAGTAGTCACCTTCTAGAGGAGCCTCCGCTGTTTGGTCATATACTTTCTAAGTGCCTGATTCTAGGTCTGTTTCCAAATTCTGTGCTTTTTTTGCCTCACAGTCAAATTGTCTGGTAGGCCCATATCTTTCTTGTTAGTTCCTTCATGTTGCAGAGGTTAGTTCAGACCTGGTGATAATAGAGCTCCAGGTTTGCCAAACCCTTGCATGTAATAAGACAAGTCACCCTTGTCACTTGTCACCAAACATCACTACGTTTGGCCAGATTCTCCAGAAAAACCATAGTAGGTTGAAATGTCCATACAGAATTACACTTTGGTTTGGCTGTTCATTGCTTACTCCACGAGGATGGCAAGTGTTATTATAAGCAGAATTGTAACTTCCTACTGCTTGGGAAAGGGGAGCTCTCTCTGGTCTTTCATCAGCAGATGCTCACAAAGCACCAAGTTTTGTAGCAGCGCCTGATCTAGGACTGGACAGAAAAATTTCAAGAGATGGGGAGCTTTAAGGAGTTCTCAGAGAAAAGTCTGAGTAGGAAATATTTTGTCTTTTTCGACCACCCCTTCCTTCCAGTAAGAAGTATTGCATTTTTCTTTGAACAAATATTGGGTAGTCTATTACTAGCAATCAACAGGGAATTCAAACAGTAAAATAAATAAATAAATAAAAATTTAAAAAAAATTCTTGCTGATTTCAAAGCTTATGATCTAATATGGAAAAGGAGACAAAATATAATGTTAAACAGAACAGGAGTGAGCAAGTGAGGGACTCTGCTGTGGCTGGAGTAAGACTGGCCCGTCTCATGCCTTCAGGCATCCACGGTCATAAGTAAGTAGGGGCTCTTGTATACTGCTTCTGGAAAGATCCCGCTATCATTCTTGCTCTCCACTGCCATCCTGTGATCACTATTCATGCCTCTCCTCACAAGAAGCCCAGACCATTAGTTTCCAGCCCCTGTACTCTGACTCCTCATCCCACTTCACTCCAGTGCCTCACACCTTTCCACTCTGCCTTCAAGAACTGTGTCATTCATTAGCAGTTAGCATTCATTAGCATTCCTGATAACAGTGTTTTTTTCTGAACGGTCCCTTCACTTTTTAATTCTAATTAAAACCTGCCTCTCTTGAAGAACATGGCTTCTGCTGCCCTCTCAAGTGATGGTAATTTCCTCTTCCTGATCTGCCACTGAGCTTGGAGGCTGGGTAGATCCCCTCCTCGATCCTCCCTTCTGCTTTCAGATAGCTTTTCCCTCCTCCTTAAAACCTTGCTTTGAATCTTACATCATTAGATTAGATCACTCTCCTTATCCCGTCTTATAATACTATTGCTCTTTATTCCACCTCAGCCCACACTCTGAAGGTCATATGCTAGACTTTATCATTTATTTTTAAAAAAACCCTCCCTGATCACATTTTCAAGTATTCAGTTTATCAAATAACAACCCCTTTTGCAGTTCACTCCCTTTAGTACCACAGCTCTTAACAAGCCTGTCTTCAAATCACAAATCCTACCAACTTCTCAGTGTCTCTCATGGTCCGGCCCCTCCTGTTCCTTACTTTTCTAAACTTCTTCACTACTAATCTCTGCATTGTCATTC